CTCTGTTAGTGAGGTGACGCTCTAGTACAGTGGTTCTCAACCTTCCTACTGCCACCACCCTTTAGCACAGTTCCTCATGTGGTGGTGACCCCCAACCATAACATTATTTCGTTGCTACTTCATCACTGTCATTTTGCTACTGTGATGAATCATAATGTAAACATCTGATATTCAGGATAACCAACCCCTGTGAAAGTCATTCGACCTCCAAAGGGGTCGCAACCGACAAGTTAAGAACCACTGCTCTAGCACTAGCTTCCCGTTCATAGATGCTTTACACCACATCCAGCATTTTAAAACAGAATTATATATTTTAAAGTTCTAATGGACTGGTTGCAAATCCATTATTTTTGTTTCATTTCTTCTTATACGTCTTAATTTCTTATACTCATTTATGCACTTTATAACTCCATTCACCACTCTGGCCATTATAAACATACTTACAGTAAAGTCTTGGCCAAGCCTATTTTGACCGATATGTGGTCTAAATTGAGATTCTGCTGCATTTGCTAGCAGTCTTTCTTAAAATTTTACTGCTTTCATATGTTTTAGAATGTTGGTTTGCAATATCATATTATGGGGGTGCTGTTTGGTGTCCTTGCCTGCCCCCCTTCCTGCCCACCCCTCCCCCACTCTAGTGGTCAAGCGGGGGCTGGCTGGGCTGCTGCCTCCAGAAGCCAGTGAGATTGCAGGCTGAGTCACTGCCTGGGCGGGCGGCTGGGTTGAACTCTCAGTCCTAAGACTGTACCAGCTGTGCTTGGCTTCCTGGTCATGAGGTCACGCACACTGTCATCTGAGGAACCGCCTTTTTCCAGAGTCACTAAAGAGCTGGGAGGCCCAGCCCCACTCCTGGCGAGACACCATGTAGGCACTGGCCCTGCTCTCCACTCTTACGGGATTGTGGCCTCAGCCCTTCATTCCACAAAATCTCAACACCCAGCATCTGGCAGCTTGTGTGCCAGCAGCGCAGTCGCAGCACTGCTCACAGCCCCTGTGACACATGCGTGCTTACTATGATGTCTGCTGGAGCCCTTTCAGTTTCCCTTCTGGTTGCCCCATGTGTGCACTTACAGGAAAACGTATTCGACACAGAAGGGGACCACTTTACAACGTACTCCTAGGCTGGTGACCACAAATCATATTCAAAATAGAAGCATATTAATCAGTCAGTCTTCCCCATTGCCTGCTGGGTATCTCACACCAGAAAAGAAAATTCTCATCCATGCAGTGCCACTTCTTCTGTGAGGCAAATCTTCATTAATAGCACGAGCTCAATATCTAAGGGCTATTTGAGTGCACAATATAAAAGACAAAGGAGAAGAGCTAAGCTACACAGTGTAAATTTAGTTTTCTAATCTTCATGTTGAAGTATGAACAAGTAACTTTTTATGGAGACATTAATATTAAGCTTCAAAGTATTTTAATTTAAATGAAAAAATTTCCAAATAATAGAACCTAGTAAGTTTTCAACTTTATACCCCTTTTCAGACACCAATTCATCTGATCAGTTTCAAAAAGGTGTCCCTAAGACTTACTTTACTTTTAATATTGAAAATATCTCTTTGATTTCAGGGTCATATTCCAACCTTTATTTCTATTAAGCTTTATTTCCTTTCTTGTTGACCAATATTTTTTAAAAAAACAACAACCCTCTAATCATTAATCCTCACCAGCTCTAAACCTATGATTTCCTGTACTTAAACTTTCTAATATTCTATATAAGCAGCCACGTACTTTCTCCCATATCTACCTCACCCTCAGATAAGTTCCCTCTATCAGATTTCTCATATTATAGCTTTCATTTATTAGAAGATGGTAACTCCAGTATCCTTTTATTACCTCTCCTTCCTTTCCCTGGGGGACTGAGTCAGAAATGAAACAGAAAGAATATAAGAAATCAACAGAAAGGGTAGCGATGGACCCAGAGTGCACACCTACATAGAACTGGTTTGACTGCAGATATAAAAATGGTAAAATCCAGTGAAAGAGGACCTCACTGCAGAGGAAGATTCAAGATGCAACACATCAAGTTGCCTTTAAGTTTAATATTGAAGTAATTCACATGAAACAGTTTTTGATGGTTTTGATGTTCATCGAAGTCTGTTAAGTGAAAAGGAATATACAAATAGATCACAAACCAAGTGTCTTTCTCTTTTATAGTTTGTTCTCCATAAAGCAAATAGAATGGCAGTTAGAATCTCATGGTATTCTTGTCAAGAACAAGATTTTTGAATATGAAATATGAGCTGATTATCACTTGAAAGCCACCCATGGTGGCCTACATATTGCTGTATTGTTAGAAGGGATGCAATTCAAGTACCACAGCAGGGTCACCCATGCTGGGCGGGTTTCAGTAGAGCATTAATTTAAGACAGACTAGAAAGAAAGTCCCGGTGATCTACTTCAAAAAATTAGATAATGAAAACGTTGTGGATCATAATGTTGTCCTACTTACGTTTTTGGATACATCAGGGGGGATAAATCGTGTTTGATGAAGCAGAAGGTCAGCAAGAAGGAGGCAGACCCTTAGAGAGATGGATTGGCACAGCCACCAAAAGGCAACATGGACTCACGCAGAGTAGCCATTGTGAGGACGATGCAGAGCCTAGCCACATGGTGTTCTGCTGTGCCAAGGGTGCCATGAGTCAGTCAGCTCCAGAGTGTCTAGCGACAACGATAACAGCCTTGCTGTGCCATGAGTAAGGAAAGCCTCCACATTGTGTTCAGGACCCTTACCTTGGTGACTTGCAAGCTGGTGAGTCTGTGCTGGAAACCCAGGTTCTGCCAGATCTCTCTGACTGTGAGAAGTCTGCTCGACTTTATCCTAAAAAGGACCACAGCAGAAACTAAGGTCAAAAGAAGCATTTCATAGTGTCAATATCCACTATCCTGGCATTTCCTCCCTTCCATTCAATTTATTTACCTCTTTTACTTTAAATGGCAGGTGTTGAATAAAAGGGTAGTTACTTATGCAAAGGTACAGCCTGTCTGACAAAGCAGTTAAAAGAAGAGTTACTCCTAAGTCTTGGCGTAAAGAGATTTCCCTGAACAGCAATTCAAAAAGAATTATTGTCAATCCAATTGTTTGGTTTAAGCAAAGAATATAAGCAATTAGCATTCCACGGACCACGGCTTTTCTGAACAATTACTGGTAATGGAGTGTGAGGAGTCTTTTACCTGACACAGTATCTGGAAAGTGGTTTACAAGTAGCTCCCTATACAAAGCACAAGAAGCTCGGCTGCATATTTCAGACATAAGGATGAAGACAAAAATTTGTGATGAAATTTAAAACCGTTATATTACGAACAAGCCCACAACTCAAGGGGCGTAAAAGTCATGGACTATAATCAAATCAACGGCAGACCTATGAAGATGCGAGGAAAGCAAATGTGCCGTGTACTATCTACACACTAACACCAAAATATAAACCGTGATTAGCTGTATTTGGGGAGGGCAAGTGGTCATTTTCTGCTTTGGTTTTATAAAATGCTTCCAATTTTTATTGTGGAGATCAGATATTTTTAATTAGAAAGGTTCTAGAATAGTATAAAAAGAACAAGATCTTCAATAAACATTACTATTAATAATACAGTCACAATTACAAGTATAGAAGGCAATTTCAATACCCTCATCTCCATCTATATCAAAAAACAAAACGTTCCAAGTACTCTAAACTGCTGCATATAAACGAGGCTAAGGTCATTTTCTCATATGTTGATTGGTCATTCAGACGTCCACCCTTGTGAAACTTCTCTTCAGGTCCTTTGCCCATCTCCTTAATTGACTATTTGGTTTTTTTCTTATTGTAGGCTAGCAGAATATTGTAGATTTTAGCAAGAACGCCCTTGTCTGATGTGTCATTGCTAAAGATGTTTTCCCATTCCATGGTCTCTCTTATTATCTCTTGGCAAATTCTTTCGATGTACACACTGTTTCATCTTCAGAAGATCCCACTTGTCAATTTCTGCTTCCTCTGTGTTGGTGTCCTTCCCTATTTCTGACAGCCTGTGTATCCCCTGCGCCGAAATTCTTAGGTTGGTCCCAAATCCCTCATTGATGGCCCTAAGAGTTAGGGGTTTTTACCTCAAGGTCTGTGATCCACCTTGACCATATTCTTGTGCATGGAGTGAGGGAAGGGTCTTGCTTCATTTTTCTGCAGACAGATACCCATTTTTCCCAGCACCATTTGTTGAAGAGGGTATCCGCTTCCCATTGGATATTTTGGGGGCCTTATTAAAGATCAGTTGTCTATATGCTGATGATTTCATCTCTGGGTTTTCAGTTCTTTTCCATTGGCCTGGGTAGCTGTCATTGTACCAGTACCATGCTATTTTAACCAATGTGGCCGTATAGTAGGTGCTAAAGTCAGGTAAAGCAAGCCCTCTGACTTTGTCCTGCTTCTTGAGGAGTTCTCTGCTGACTCTGGGCCTCTTGCCTCTCCATATGAACTTGGTAGTCAGTTTTTCCAATTCTTTGAAGAAAGATGGTGGTATTTGTATCAGGATAGTATTGAACTCACACAGTGCCTTGGGTAGGACTGACATCTCTACTATATTAAGTCTTCCGATCCACATGAATATTCTTCCATTAGTGGAGGTCACTTCTGGTTTCTTCTAATAGTGCTCTGTAGTTTTCTTTGTATAAATCTTTTGTTGTTTTTTTGTTAGGTATATCCCTCGATATTTCCATTTGTGCTTGGCTATTATGAAGAGTACTACCTTTTTGATCTCTTCTGTGGTCTCGTCCAATGTACATAGCAGTCCGACAGACTTCTGTTTGTTGGTTTTGTATCCTACCACTCTGCCATATTCCCCCATCTAGCACTTCTACCACATTCCTCTTCTAGCACTCTTCTTGTGGAGATTTTGGGGTTTCCCACATATAAAATCGTATCAAACAATGTAGATCTCTATCAACTCTCTGTTCTAGACTTGATAGGTTGTATAATTTACTTAACTAATAGCCTCTATTGTTGAGTATATCATGTGTTAAGAACTCTAATTTTTATTGGAAAAGAGGAAAATGATTGGCTTGAAAACATGGTGTCTAGGAGGCAAAAGAATCCCACTGAGTGGGTGAAGTTGGAGTTGTTTCACTGTTGAGTTTACAATTTTAAGCCTTCCAGCCCCTGACATTATGAAAGGCATGCCATCTGTGGTCCCTCCGGCTGGTTTCTACCGTTCCAAAGCCCATGTTTTTCCAACACACTGCCAGCCATATAAGAGAAATGTGTTTTGTTTTTTCTTTTCCAAATGGTAAAACAATCCATGTAAAATTTTTGGAAATACAAAGTAGAAAAATAAAATTTGAATTAGCCCAAATCCTAAGACATTCTAATAACGTAATGTCCTCATGGATTTTCTATTTCATTATACATAGACACAGCTGAAATCACTGTACTGACAAATTTGTGTTTTGTTTCTTTCCCCAGATAACAGGTGTGGTAGTTATATAATCGCTTGTGAATTGGAGAGGATTAAGAGTGAAGGGGTGGAGTCTAGCCTGTCAATCAGGTGATAAGCAATGAGGCCTCTGTGTGGCCCTGGCCTTCTCCTTAAGGATTATGGGAACTTCTGTATTTCGATGCTCAGGACACTCTCCCTCTCTGCTCATTCCCTGGGATACACTGCAGCTGATAAGGCACTGGAAGAACCCCTGCTAGCGCTGAGATGCTTACAATGCCACTGGATCCACAAGACTTCCCACCCACTGGCCTGTGATCTTCCTGCATTTGGCGTCATTGCATGTGTTTCCTGAGTCTGAAGAGGACTTTATAGATTGGTATCAGATATATGGGCTAATATCAGACTTATGGACTTGATCTGGACTGGGCTGGGATGTTTTCTTAATGTACAGTTGCTCTTGTACACAAAGCTCTTTGTTACACATCTAAGTCTCTAAGAGTTTGTTTCTGTAGTCTACCCAAACTAACACAACAGGGAACCTTCCGAGTTACTAGGGCCTATCTTAAAAGCTTGGCATGTGTCATTTATCAGTTTATCAGCTGCTTTGGTGATACTTCCATTGTTTGGAACTTTCAGAGGTGTATGTAAAGTGCCTATGAATATCTTTGCACATAAAACTGCCCACTTTGGTGATTATTATTCACTTAGGATCCCTAAAAACAGAATGATTACGTCAAAATGTACCTGTGTTTTAAGACTCTAGAAACAGATAAACTCTTTTGCACACAATTTCACCTATAACAGAGGTAAACTGCCCACCTCATAATACTCCAAGCAATCAGCAGTATAAGGTATCTTTGTGGAATTTTTTTTCCTAGCAAATTCCAGAGGTAAGCAATGGCCTCACCCTTGTATCTACAGGTCTTTAATATTAATCAGGCAGAAGATTTTTCCATATATTTATTAGCCCTTATATTTCTTATTTGGGACTATCCGTGACAAGCCTGTTTAGATTACTGCCAGAGGGCACGTGTGCTTTTGAACCAGAGAGGGTTCTGATAAATTATAGCTCCACTACTCAGTAACTGAAGATTTTGAACGAACTCTAAGACTTTAGAGTTTCATCTGTAAAATGGGGTAAATAACTCCTTAGGGGGTTGTTTGAAGGAGCTGTTAAAACACAAAATTGAGCACCATTTATCCCCCCATAATGATTTCTTAATCCCTCTTGTATAGAATTCTTTATTCCTGCCTTGATGGCTGACTCCTCAGTATCCTGTAGAACAATGCCGAACAGCACACTAGGTGTGCATAGCACACTAGGTATCCACACTGATTGTTGTGACCTGATTTCCTACACCCTCCGATGACAAGAAGCCTGGCCAGGCCCCACCCTGATCCACTGTGTGGTTAGTGACACCCCCTCATTGCACAGCCGCTGTACACTGAGGTCAGAGGTATGTCCTTGTCGATCAGGTGTGTGCCTCCCATGTTTGGAAGCATACTCTGCCCCTCCAGCCAGCAGAACATGCAGTGCTGGCAACTTGCCCTCACCACCTTTGGGTGGGCAGAAATTGCTTCAGAAAACAGATGCCCTGAACTCAACTACTTTCTAAACCAGCAGGAATTCCATCCAGGACAAGCTGTCCTGTCTCTGAGACCTCCTGGGCTGATAAGAGAGCACAAATGTGTCCTGGGTGCCCTGCCCCAGC